GATTATGCTCATAAATAACATGTTAAAACTTAGTAGCAACATCGTAACTATAATACTAACAAGGGATTTAAATACTATAAATCTTTCCCTTGACAAGCTTCTCGTATTGTAATATCCGGCATAAGTATATTGAGCATGAGCAACCAAAATGTACATGGACTACGCTTAGAGTTGAAGAGCGAAAGTTCATACAAGCATGTCTCAGAAATGCATGTGAGATTGGGGTTTTTTCTTACACTGTGGATGCTGCCTTGTTGCCCCAGGTTCATGATTGTTTACGGCTTCTTCCTAAGATTTCTGGGCTTCTTCTTCTTCTGCAAGGATGAGAAGGCCAAAGGGGAAGATCATGTTACTTTCAGATTCGCCAGTTATTCAAAGAGAGAGGTGGTTTGAAGGCTTAAAACATACAAGATCAATTTCAAAACTGTATTACGTATATATAGCAGAAGCAGACCAAGCTCATTGGCAATATCGTCATCAATCATCTGAGGTATTTTAAATTTTCGAGCATCGCTAAAAATTCCGAAGCTATATTTGAAATTAGTCCCATCCTTTACCTTAACAGGGACAACCTTGGATAAACCACAGAGGATAAACTTTGGAAAAAAAAAAAAAGGGTTCTGAAACTCAGAAAGTGCAGTAGTTCGATCACCAAATAGAAACTAAGAATCTGAGAAATAGAACTGATCGTTGCAACAATGACAAAAAATATTATTATGTGCATGAATCGTCAAACGAAACCTTGAACATTGAATATTATTCTACTTTTACCTCGTTTGGTTTCAACTTCTCACTTACATTGTTCGTCTTCTTCCTGCTGCGTCTTCTTCACTGGAGCTTTCTTCTTTACATTGCCATGAACAGTCCAACAGGCCACTGCCTTCCTCCCCGTGATGTTTACTTAAAACGAAATAAAATTTTTCTATCACTACTCTGGTAATTCCTCATCTTTTCTGTCCTTTTTAAAGTCTTCACCTTTTTGTCAATCTTCTTTTATGCCAACATCAATTTTTTTTAGTATAAGACTTGATCTACCTTAATTTTGCTAAAATTACAAAAACCTTCCAAATATTTTCACAACCTTAATTTTAATAAATTTCTTAACATTTCTAATAATATTTTGGTAAGATCTCTAAATGTGGATACCTCTCCTAACAAAGATTTAAACCTTAGTTTGTATTGGTCCTTAAATTTTGTTTTAACTGGGTTTTTTTTCCCCCTCCCGGTGATAAATGGTGTGCATTCAAATGCCACTTGAATTTACTGTTAAGTAGCATCATTAGATAGCAAACACATGTAACTTTAAACATATAAAAAAATTAAGAACTTTATGAGATGCAATATAAATTCATGCATTATTTTGATAAAATGTCAGTTCAGAAATTAATTGAACTTTTTAATAAGAGATAAAAATAATGAAGTTGACTATAATATGTTAAATACAAAAACAATGATTTTAAGTCAATAAATTAATTTAAACGTTCAAATATATATTTTTTATCTAAATGAGATTAAAAATGGCGCCAAAAAAATGATGGAAAAGATCAATTTACTTAACGAATGAATGAATAAATAGAGGGATGTTATTTAAAATACACACCTCACTTGCCACTGAGTGAGGTTAGATATATTTTGAATTTATTTTTAAATCCAAATTGAAATTTAACTTTTCGTACATTCACTTGAAGGTGCCTCTCTCTCTCTCTCTATATATATATATATATATATTAATATTACCTATTCGTTCAAATTATAAAAAATAAGCTGAAAGTTAGTAGATTGACCACCTATGCCCAACGTCCTAATATGCAAGGGATTGAGTAAAAAATGAGTCCAAAATTCAAGCACTGCGTAGCACCAACCAACTGAGTTATAATTGAGGTAAAACGCACCCAACCCAATAAGAATCAGTCACAAGTCCAAAATGATCACTTGGGAATACCTTGAATTACTCTTAAATAAGAGTGAGTCAAAAGTTGAAAAATTAAAATATTAATTTTCTCATACTTCAAATTAATGAAAATAATTGAAAGGAATTGTAAAATTAATCTTCACGTATAATATATTCTTGATATGTACCTTTTAACTAAGGTGTTTATATTTTCTTGTGCACGGGTGATAAATCTTATAGTTTCTACCTTTGCAATTTATTCAAGTTTTAATAAATAAAATTTACTCAATAAATGTTCATAAATATTAGAAGTGTAATTGATTCTCAAATAAATAAATAAAAGTTTGCACATTCTTTCTTAGAACAAACTCTTTCAAACTTCATGAAAAATGAGTGAATATAAAGTAGTACAAAATTTTCTGGTGCCCCTTTGATCATAACTACAAATGATTTCTCTTCACCTGACGTTTTGGTTGGATCCAGAGAATTTCTCCGAACGCGTTTTGGGCTTTATAGGATTTCCCACTGACAAATTATTCAAATCTTATCGAATAAAATTATTTAATAATTTTTTTATTATTTAATGTCACATGATTAAAATTTTGAGAAAGTGGAAACGTAGTTGGCTTACTGGCTAACTTTTTCCACCTATGGTAGACACATTGATTAACTATATTTTCATGGAAAAATGAGTCAACTACACAAAACTTGTTGAGGCTTCTTGGTCCATCCTCTCTTATTTTTCAAAGGTCTTTTCAATATAAGGGAAAACTTTTCCACATTAGAAAAACAAAAGTTTCCTCATCCCATAATGTTTTCACTATAGGTTAGCAAGGAAACCCAAACCGATTCAACCGGTGCAACCAAAAATCAGCAAATCGACCAAGTAATCAGTCCTGTTGAGCATGTAGATTGAAGTTAAATTGATCCGAGAGGGTGACCTAGTATAAACCTGACCAAATCAGGAGCAACCCAGTTAACCAGCCTACTTTGGTGGGTTAACTTGGTTGCTCTCTTTTCTTTAAATTAAAAAAAGCTATTTTGAACTAAAAACTTTTTTTCAATAAGCTATTGATAACCATTAGTTTAGTAATTAATAGATTGTAGGCAGGAATATTTTATTATCATATGTCTATTTTGATATTTTGCCAGGATTAATCTATAGTGATCTTGTTAATATGATACTATGATGTTAATTTGTCAAAAGAATTGTAAAGAATGTCAGAAAAAAATTATAAGTATGTGATTGTTTTGTTTGTAATTCAAGGCAATGAACTAATATTTAGTTCTTAGATGGTAGGATAAAAACTTAAATTATTTTTTTAATTTTTTATTTCTCACTAGTTTGATCCTGATTTAACTCACTGATCCTTGACCCATTGCCTAAATTAGTCCGGTTTTCATTACTTTGATTTTCACTTGAAATAAAACAAAAATATATATAAGTTTTATTTTTATTTACAACTAAAATACTTTAAAAAACTTCACAGCAATAACTTTAAAAGAATAATATTTCTAAATATAGTCAGAAAAATATTTTTACATATATACTTTGCTGTTCTTCTTCTTTTTTTGGCCAAATATAATTTCTACTGATAAATGCTTGATAATCCATTAGTTGTGTTAGATATAATTATTATAACTAAAAGCAAAATACTATTCAACTGACACAACAAGAATCATGAATTTTGTTCTCCATCCCTCTGAGCCCAAATGCCTTTTCAATTTACGAGCAACTGTTTCCACATAAGAAAAGTAAAAAATTCCTCACCGTGATGTTGTTTCGAATAAAATAAAATTTTTCTATCGCTACTTTGGTAATTCCTCGTCTCTTCTGTCCTTTTTAAACTCTTCACCTTTGTAAATCTTCTTTTATACCAACATTAATTTTTTTTAGTATAAGACTTGATCTACCTTAATTTTGCTAAAATTACAAAACCTTCTAGATATTTGCCGAACCTTAATTTTAATAAATTTCTTAACGTTTCTAATAATATTTTGATAACAATTTTAAAATATTTGTTTTAGGTGCATGTATTCTCTTATTAGAAGCAATTTTTTTAGCCATTGTAGAACACTAAATGTAGATACCTCTCCTAACAAAGATTTAAACTTTGGTTTGCCATATTAGTTCTTAAATTTCGTTTCGATTGTGGTGTTTTTTTTTTTTTGGTTGCCGCTGATAAGTGGTGTACATTCATATGCCATTTGAATTTACCGTTCAAGTAGCATCATTAGATAGCAAACATATGTACACTTTAAACATATTAAAAAAAATTAAGAACTTTATGAGATGCAATATAAATTCATGCATTATTTTGATAAAATGTCAGTTCAGAAATTAATTGAAGTTTTCAATAAAATTAAGAAATAAAAATAATGAAGTTGACTATAACATGTTAAATGTAAAAACCATAATTTTAATTAATTTAAAATTTCAAATAAATATTTTTTATCCAAATGATATTAAAAAAAGCGTTAAAATAATTATGGAAAAGATCAACTTAGTTAACAAACGAATGAATAAATAGAAGTATGTAATTTAAAATACAGACCTCACTTGCCACCAAGTGAGGTTCGATATGTTTTGAATTTCTTTTTAAATCCTAATTGAAATTTAATTTTTTTGCTTGCGAAGGTGCTTCTATATAAATATACATATATATATAACCTTTTCATTCAAATTATAAAAAATAAACTGAAAGTTAGTAGATTGACCACCTATGCCCAACGTCCTAATATGCCTTATGTTGATTTTTTAACTTATTTTTTTATTTTACTTTATTTATTTTTTTTTTTTTGCAAAAGCTATTATTGTCAACTATAACTTTGGCCAAGAAGCAACGAACAAATTGGGGACCCTTTCTTCAATATAGCAATACATTATCAAACATATATATATAGTACACATTCTTGCTAGAAAGCATATTCCTAACATGGCTTATATTATTCAAAAGCCCAAGTGATTAACAATAAATAGAAGCAACAACATACAAAATGCTTGTAATAAGCCATAACTACCATCACACAACTCTTTTTTCCCCCTTCTCACCACCAACAATATCGAAGTTTGTACCACATGCAGTCTATGAACCGAAAGTAACTATACCTCCAGGATCTACTGTAGAGCAAGGGACCAACAACTAACCAAAATCCTAAAACATATCCCAGAGACATGCTCACATAAAACCAATTGACCCCATTTCTCTTACCTTCTTTGTCATCATGGCGGTTGGGGATATTTTGCAAATCATCGCAATTCTTTGGTAATGGAGGACCACATAGATCGTTGTCCACAAAACTTGATGCTTCAAAGGTTTGCAATTGAGTGCCTGTTGGAATTTTTCCTGTCAAATTGTTGGATGACAAGTTCAACTTGCTCAAGAAATTCAAATTGGACATGCTTGATGGGATTTCACCATAAAGCTGATTTTCTGAGAGATCCATTGACTCCAACCATTCCATGTTTCCAATATTTTGAGGAATCTTACCACTCAAAAGATTGTTTGACAAGTTCAAGAAATGCAACCCCTTAAGAGATGTAATTTCACTTGGTATCTCCCCGCATAATTTATTACCAGAGAGATCTATGCTTGTGACGAGGCCCAAGAAAGTATATACATAATATGTTCCTTTCAGCTCTAGAAGCACATTAGTTATATGTAGAGAAGTTCCATTGCTATAGATGTTTGACTCTAGAGTGGTATTCTGTACTAGCATAACACTCAATTGATTGATGCATTTTGGTATTTGTCCCGTCAAGTCATTTTGTGCAAGATCCAAGATATGTAGCGAATTCAAATAGCATATTTGATTGGGAATCTTACCATTGAATTGGTTTGATCTGAGGAGAAAGATCTTCAAATTTAAGAGAATGTCTCCAACCCATGGTAGAATGATTCCTGAAAATTGATTCTCTCTAAGATCCAAAAATAACAATTTAGTACTATTCTTGAAACAAACAGGAAAATTTCCTGAAAGAGAGTTGTTACGGAGTTGCAATGAGTAGAGCCAAGGTAAGGATCCCAAGGATGTGGGCAACTTCCCATTGAAATGGTTATTATCAAACTTGACGATCATTAGATTATTTGACCACATCTTCCAACAATCAGGTATTTCACCTGACAAATTATTTGATGTTAAATCGAGATATTCTAACATCATTGGCTCTCCCTTTTCCTGACATGAGAAGGAGGCTATGGATCCAGAAAACCAATTATTTGAGAGGTCTAAGTATCCCACAATTGGTGATATGTGTGGTAAAGCACCACTTAAGCGATTTGAGCTTAAATCAATGGTTTCAACATTGATGGGATTCTTCAATGTATAAGAAAGCTCTCCATGGATATCATTGTTAGAGAAATCAAAATAAAAAGCATTGGGGAATGCACCCCACAGCCATGTGGGGATACAATCAGAGATGTTGGTGTAAGGTATGGACAACCCCTTAAGATCTTTCAGTGATAGGATCCATGATGGAAAGTGAGGACCTAAATGCCATAAGCCTATGTCCAAAAAGATCAACTTTTGAAAAGATGGCTTCCAATTGGGATCTACTTTTAAAGTAAGTTTGTTTCCTAATACGATGAACCAATTTAATTTAGCAAAATTGGCGAGGTGATCTTTATTTACAATTCCACAGAAAAGATTATCACTGATATCAAGATATTCTAATTCAGAAAGTGATTGCAAAACATCAAAAGGATTCCCATCAAATTTATTTCCCTGAACTCGCAGATATCTCAAAGAGGTAAGATTTCCTAAAGATATAGGAATTGCACCTTGAATAGAACTGTTAAAGATAGAAAGTCTATGGAGATTTTTGAAAATCCCAATCTGGGCTGTCAAATTACCGTAAACTTTTGAACCATCAATTGACAATACCTCGAGTGTGTGAGAAGCACAATTAGAGATTATTTCAATTAACCTAGAAACTTGTTGATTAAAGTTATTGTTAGAGAGATAAACACTTCTTAAGTTACAAAGATTGCTTAAAGAGTTTGGAAATGGCCCTTCCAACTGATTGAATGACAAAGCAAGAGTAACCATAGAAGTCAAGTTTCCAATTGCATTTGAAATTGTTCCATGCAAATTGTTCCAATAAAGAGTAAGAGACTTGAGATGGTTCAAACTATATAACCAATCAGGAATAGAAGAATTAAACAAATTGTTAGACAAATCAAGATCTTCAATGAGAGAGAGGTTATGAATACCATTTGGGATGAATCCTTGCAAATTATTGTTGCTTAATTTAAGAGAAACCAAATTCTTTAGCTGAAAAATCCACTTTGGAATGGAAGGAGGTCCAAAATCAAAAGAAAAGGAAAGGTCAAGGATTGTTAGAGATGAAAAGTTTATGGCAATGGCTGGATGGAAATTGTGACGAAGAGCACACTCTTGCAGATGTAACTCTGTTAACAAGGGAAGAGATTGCAAAACAAGCAACCAATCAAAGGCATTAGACATATTAACAAAACTCAATTGAAGATATTGGAGTAAAGAAAGAGATGATATCCATTGAAGATTTTCTTCATACATTGATATCCCATCCTCGTCATATTGATGATCACCAGAGAGATCAAGATAGAGTAGATTTGATAAATTACCAATTTGATGGGGAATCTTTCCAGTAAAATAATTATCTCCTCCAAGGTCAAGATGGAGCAAACCAGAGAGATTTCCTATTTGGTGAGGAATGCTTCCACTGAATCCCGCATAAGAGAGGTTCAAATATGTCAAGCTCTTCATTGAACAAAGGAAACTTGGAAACTGCATGCCTCCAAAATGGTTGCCGCTCAAATCCAAGTAACCTAGTTCTTTCAACTGAAGTATCGAAGGATGTATTTCACCCCCAAACCTTGATATCTCAGAAACATCATAACCCCCATACGAGTAAGTAATTGAAGTTGAGAGGTGAAGTTCAAGAATGTGACCTGTTTCATGATTGCAAGAAACTGATGTCCAGTTGCAGCAATTTGTGTTATCATCAGACCAAGTGGCAAGCCTGTTTGAAGGATCATGAAGATGTTGCTTGAAATTAAGCAGGACTTGTCGCTCACTAGGAATGCAAAGAACTTGATCAGATGCTTTGCATTTGCATAAGGGATTTAGTGATAAGGTGAGTGAGCAAATCAAAATGAAGACAATGGTATTTTCACATAGACCCATGATTAGTTTCTTTACTAGAGCTGGCTTACAACTCTACACAAAATTACTGGTATTTATAGTTTTAGTCTGTTAGAAAGTGGGGGTTTAAGCAAAACTTTTGGATAACAGTGAATGACTTCCTAGCAAAGCATTCATTTTATAGGCGGCTTGGTCAATACACGATGATAGTGAGATGTGAAACTTGAGACGATTATGTATGTAAACGGTATACACAATTCTTTATTATTTATGCAAAGTTATGGCCTAATAGGTCTCATAAATTCCTTAAAAAAATCATGGATTTAAGTAATTTTAATTGTTATATTCGTCTCCAAATATGACTGTAAAAGTTATAAAACGTTATTGCTATTATTAGCAAATCACGTACATACATATAAATTGATGAAAATAATTTAAAGGAATAGTATAACTAATCTTGGTATACAATATATTCTTACATATGTACTTTTTTTTATAAGTAAGGTGTTTATAACTTTTTATATACGTACGAGTGATAAATCTTGAAGAATCTGCCTTTGACAATTTAATTAAGTGTTGATAAATAAATTTTAATTGATAAATCTTCATAAATATTATAATTGATTCTAATTAAAAAAAATGTGTTCATATATTCTTTCTTATAATAAACTCTTTTTCAAATTTCATGAAAAATGAGTGAATATGCATGAAGTTTTCTATTGTCCCTTCCATGATAATTATAAATGACTCCCCTACCTAACTTGTTTGTTGGATCCAAAGAGTTTCTTATACAAGTGTTGGACTTCATAGAATTTCCTACAAACAAATTAGTCGGATTATCATGAATAAATTTACTCAATTAATATTTATATTTATAATGTTAGATGCATGGTTACAAATTCTGGAAAGTAAAAACATAGTTGGCAAACTTTTTTCACACGAGTTAACCATACAAAACTTGTGTAGAGGGTTCTTGACTTATTATTTCTTTTATTTTTCAAAGCTCTTTTCAAATTTAACGGAAAACTTTTTCACATTAAAAAAAATAAAAGTTTCCTCATCTCACAATATTTTCATCCCGAACAAACCAAAAATGCATGTATAATCTTTTTCCTTTTCAACTAATTAAAATATTTTAAAAACAACAACAGAAATAATTTTAAATGAATATTATGTTTAAATATAATCATAAGAATATTTATATATATAATGTCTTATATGAATGTCAGGCAAATTAAATAGAAATTTTCTTCTACTATCACTATACGATGGGACAAATCGATTAGGACAGAAGAAGAATCATGGAATTTTCTTCTCCACTTCTCTCTTGCCAAATTTCTTTTCCAATTATGAACAAATTTTCCACATAAGAAAAGTAAAAGATTCCTCACCCTAACGTTTACTTCAAATAGAATACAAAAATTTTTCTATCACTACTGTGACAATTGTTCATCTATTCTGTCCGTTTTAAAGTGGTCACCTTTTGTGAGTCTTCTTTAGTATTTGTTATCAAAAGATGTGTGACTATCAACATCAATTTTTTCAGTATAACACTTGATCTATCTCAGTTTTGCTAAAATTACAAAAACCTTTCAAATATTTTTGCAACCTTAATTTTAATATATATTTTTAACATTTTATAATAATGTTTTGGTAACAAATTTTAAAAATATTTTTCTTAATTGAAGTTTATGTTAAAAACGTTTATATGACTATCTAAAAGGCCAAATTGAGAATAACTCTCTCAAAGATGTTATTCTTTTTGTTCACATGAACTCAAATTAAATTCAACATCTCATATTTAAGCGTTCGAAACCTCTTTCACTCAGATGAATGCAGGTTGGTGTTTTATTCTCATAATCTAACAATCAACGCTTTCTTTGTCATCAATTTGATGAATCTTAGACGGAAAACAGCATAATATTTAAATAAATATTGTAGTAAACTCTCTTTCCTTTATAATTTTGGTCAGATGAGCACCCATCCAATGTTTATTTTCTTTTGGCTTTAGTTTTATTTTACATAGCATTTCCCAATTTTGCCGTAGTAAAAAAGAATAAAGGAAAATGTAAAGCCCCAATGAAAATGTGGGTACAGGACCTACAATGAAAAAATGGTTGATGAAGATAGAACCTGTAATAAAAAAGGTAGCACAAATTATTTTTTCTTTTTAGAAAAAGCCAAGTGTGCAGAAAAACTCATTAACTTTCACATAAAATGCACCAAGCATCATATGCTTTTTGGAGGTTCAAAAATGCATATAAAAATGCAAAATTAGAGTGAAAATGATACAACTACTAAAATAACATAAAATCCGTTTACTTTTTACAGTGGGACACATGCTATTTAAAAAATATAAAATGTAAATTTACAAAAATACTTATAACTTTCTCAAAGTGCGCCAAATATCATATGTTTTTCAAATGTGTAAAAATAAATTGTACTGATCAATATTAGTATGTTGATTTAGATCAAGTGCGCTAATCTACATAAATCTTTCCAAATCGTTGAAAAACTGAAAAAAAAAATCGCAAAAAATCCAGAAGCTTCAAATGGAGACAATAACATGAAGATAAGCCAATAGCTTCCTCTACTCTCTACCGTGTCCTTAAAGAGGAAAACACAGAGGGTGATAAGGTGACGGGCAGAGGCAAACATTCTTATTTTACAGTATGAGGCAGCAGCAGAAGAAGGGTGATGAAAGAAGGATGACGCAATAATGTTAGGAAATGGAGGGTGTCGGGTCCCACAAATTGCCAAACATGTTAAGTCGGCAGTCCAATAGTATGAGGAGCCATTTGACTTTAACCATGTACCGCCCTCACAAATCTCACCACTTTGACCGATCATCTTTCAGTCTACCTTGCTTGACTCACCAACCATCTTCAGCAGCAGTAGAGATGCATGAATCGACCCTGCCCATTGTCTGGCAACTTGCACCCACCTTCTCTGACAATCACAACCATTAAGAAACCCACATACTTATTTGCACCAATTACATTAACCAAATGTCTCGTTTCAACATTATAATCCTTGCCTCTCTTCCTTCACCCACATTTAACGACTCCAACAAGTCCTCTTCCACCGTAAATGCATTATCTCCTTCTCTGTTTATACCTTCCAAGACTAATCAAAAACTATATTTATTGCATATCAAACTCTTGTCTCCTGTTTATACTTACTACCTCTAGTTTTTTATATAAGAGTTAGTTTGACTTTTAATTTGGTCTTAAAAATAAGATCCCAATCTATTTTATCTCTCATATTTGATCTTTTTTTTTCAAAGTAGTCCTTGTAGTAATTGAAAATGTTAAGGATTTAATCGAATGGTAGTTTTAGCAAACACATATGATTAATATTGATATTTTAAGGAAGACAACACATATGTATTATAAATAACTTACTTAAGAAACTTTTTTAATTAATTCAAATTAATCAACTAGATCTTATATTAAGAATTGGAGGTTGTATTAATTATTATCTCTTTTGTTTTCTCCCTCTTCTTGCATTTCATCAACCTGCATATTGTCACTTTTCATAAATGCTCAAAAAAGATCTAAGTTGAGTTGGGCAGGCTACTCCATAGCCCAACAAAGGCCGAAAATGCACATAAAAATGCAAAATTAGAGTGAAAATGATACAACTACTAAAATAACATAAAGTTTGTTTACTTTTTATAGTGGGACACATGCTATTTAAAAAAATATAACGGGAAAACTTACAAAAATACTTATAAACTTTTTTTCAAAGTATGCCAAATATCATATGTTTTTTAAATGTGCAAAAATAAATTGCACATATCAATATTACTATGTTGATTTAGATCAAGTGCGCTGATGTAGACAAATCTTTCCAAGTCGTTGAAAAAACTAAAAAAAAGCATAAAAAATCCAGAAGCTTCAAATGGAGACAATAACTTGAAGATAAACCAATTGGATTGAACTTTTAATTTCAACCCCCTAGTCAAACGGCAATTTTAGAAGCATGGTTGCAAATTCTGGAAATTAGGGACATAGTCGGCAAACTTTTTCCACGTACCAGTGAACCATACGAAACTTGTGTGGAGGGTTTTCAACTCATTTCTCTTCTTTTCAAAAGGTCTTTTCGAATCAACAAAAAAAATTTTGACATTTAACAAATCAAAAGTTTCCTCATCTCACAATATTTTCACCCCAAATAAAACAAAAACGTATATATAATCCTTTTCATTTTCAACTGATTAAAATTTTTAAAAAAATAACAACAACAATATTTTTACATATAATCATAAGAACATTCTTATATATATAATGTGTTATATGACTCTCAGGCAAATTAAATGGAAATTTTCTTCTCCAATCACTGTACGATAGGACTAAATCAATCCGGACAGAACAAGAATCATGGAATTTTCTTCTCCACTCCTCTCTTGCCAAATTCCTTTCCCATTCCTCTCTCGCCAAATTCCTTTCCCATTTATGAACAAATTTTTCCACATAAGAAAAGCAAAAGATTCCTCACCGTAATGCTTACTTCAAATAAAATACAAAATTTTTCTATCACTGCTGTGACAATTGTTCATCCTTTCTATCTGTTTTAAAGTAGTCGCCTTTTGTGGTTCTTCTTTTGTACTTGTCATCAAATGATGTATGACTATCAACATCAGTTTTTTCAGTATAACACTTGATATACCTCATTTTTGCTAAAATTACAAAAAAGAAAACTTTCACATATTTTCACAGCCTTAATTTTAATCTATGTTTTAGCAACTTTTAATAATGTTTTGGTAAACAATTCTAAAAATATTTTTCTTAATTAAATTTTATGTTAAAAACGTTTAAAATGGTTGACTTTTTTCTTGCTATAGATAATTGATTTTTTTTCTATGAGTATTTAATAGGTCAAATTGAGAATAACTCTTCAAATGATGTTTTATACGAAACTTATGTGGAGGGTTTTTGACTCATTTCTCTTATTTTCAAAAGTTCTTTTCGAATCAACAGAAGAATTTTTTGACATTTAAAAAAATAACAGTTTCCTCATCTCACAATATTTTCACCCCA